ATGTGTGTGTGTGTGTGTGTGTGTGTGTTTTTTTGTTTGTTTGTTGTTGTTTTTTAATCTTCAAAAGTCCGTGAGCATTATATGACCCAGGATGGGACTCAAAACGTTCCTCCATTTCACCTTTTAGATTTTTCATCAATTTGGAAATGCTGTCCTTTGAGATTTTTATTTTCAGATTCGGGGAAAGGAAAAATCGGGGGTGATCAGAGTGACTGGGGAGTTCCTGACATTAAATTATCTCAATTGTTCCGATGGGGCAATAGAACTACCTTCATCTAAACGTTTTTAAACACTGACAATTAAACAACAGGACAATACAAAAACATACAGCCTGACAATCTGGTCTCCGAGCTGTTGTGTTTGTTCAGAGTTTGAGGTAGAGGTTTTCAGAGACGAGGCAACAAAGATGAGTCACACACCTCTAACGGCACAATTTATATCATTTACGAGCCCGGCTTCCAAACTTGCCTGTCATCCCAGGCTTAGAAGGATACATTTCAGCATCCCAGCAGAAAAATCAAGATACTCGATAAAAAGCTGGGTTTTTTTTTAAATTTCTCCCCATTCGGGAATGGAACTTGGATCTCCTACATGTCACAACAAGACACCAAAGTGCTACACCACTGACACCGGTACCTTGAAGTTATAGGTATGCGATATCGACTTCACATGCTAATGTGGGTGTACTAAATGTCAGGTGTACTAAATGTACAAATGTGATGATTTCCTTTGAGAGGTTCCATTCCTCTCTGATACTGCTGACTCAGTAGGGCCGTGGAAGACCGTTCTTACTCAACGGATCGCCTACTGTAGTTCGGTAAGAGTTGAGGGCAATTTCTGAAAAATGAGCCGGAACAGAAAGTTCGGTTGAATCAATAACTTCAGGCCAAAATTTAATTAAGTTTCAGATCGGTTTGGAGCCAAGATAACTCTGGATCAAAATAGTTAACTGAATTAGCTTGGCGCTTTGCATCTCTTCTGAAGCACAACCTCCCCTATGCCTTCCCCTGCCCCATGCCCAACGCCTACTGTAATAAAGCTGGCGTTGCTCATGCCCCATCCCCAAAGCCAGTTTAGAGTAGGCGCTGCCCATCCCCCTCTCTTTCTCTCTCTCTCTCTCTCTCTCTCTCTCTCTCTTTCTTTTTTCTCTCTGTCGCGCTTTTTTGTCACTCTCTCCCTCATCCCCTCCACTCTCTCTCTCTCTTTCTCTCTCACTCTAGTTCAATATTTCAAGTTTTCCTTTTGCTCTCTCTCCACCAAAAACTTTCAACTGGACTATCTCTCTCACTCACTCTCTCTCCCTCTTTCTGTCTCTCATTATTCATTTGTCTCTCTCCCTCCCCCTCCCCTCTTTCCCGC